CAGGGACAATCCTCACCGGCCACCAAGCCCCTCTGGGACCCTGAAACTTGCAGGAGGTGATCAGGCTGCCAAGTCCACGTGCAGGTCTCTCTCTGCACCCACCAGAGTCCTCCCCACTTGGTAATCATGTCCTAATCCTCACGGGCTATGGGAGCTGTAGTTACAAGGCAAAAATGCCAGGCATTTGCGATAAGGAGATTGCTTAATGCAGGACGAGGGGTGGGCGGGTGTGTGGGCGGGCGAGTGGGTGGGCCGATGCCCGGGGGGGAGGGGAGGGGGTGGCGGGCGGCACCCTGCCAGAGCCTGCCTGCTGCTCCACAGACCTGCTGGGCGTGAGAGGGGTCGAGCCCCACTGGCCGGGCGCTCGGGGACTGTGGAAACCCAAGGTGGGCTGCCCCCCTTTTCATGCCATCTATGATCACCATGCTTCATCCCACTTTCCTGCCCAAGTTCCCACAACAGGCCAGCCTATGTCCTCAGGAAGTCACTGAAGGCCTTCTGCTTACAGATGGGGAAACTGAGGCCCAGATGGCAATCCTTGGTGAAGAGCCCTCCCGGGAGATTTCTCCTTCACAGGGGTCTCTTGGAGACAGACCATCAGATGGTCTTGGGGCTAAAGGGAATATATCTGGTATCTGATGGGGAGGGGGTGATGCCAACCTGCCACCCATTCCCCCATCTCTCCTCCAGCTCCCCCCACCCACCCCAGGCCACAGCAGCTGCTTCCCCAAAGCCTCTGCTAGTGCCTTGTTGCACCTGGTTCCTGCTCTTGGGCTTGCCCTGTCATCAGTCAAAGTCTCCCCATCCCTCAAGGCCTGTCTTCAAGGCCCCTCCTCTAGAAAGCCCTCCTGCATTGCCCAGCTGAAAGCGCTGCCTTTACCCTCTGAGTGTCCTCCATCAGCTCCTCTCTCACATTCCCTGTTACTGCGTGCAGACACACACACACACACACACACACACACACACTCACACACACACACACACTCACTCACACACACACACACTCACACACACACACTCACACACACTCACACACTCACACACACACTCACACACTCACACACACACTCACACACACTCACACACACACACACTCACACACACACACACTCACACACACACACTCACACACACTCACACACACTCACACACACACCCCTCTACGTAGTGCTGTTTCCTTCTCCCTGGGCCTGGGGTTCTCGTCTTCCCACGTACCTGCCCCATCCGGTGGGATGAAGCCCAAGGCTCACTCCTTTCTTTGAAGAAGCCCCTCCCTAGCCCACACCTGTGCCCCCGCCTGCCCCGCCTCCAGGCAGAAAGGCCCAGCACTGGGTGTCAGGGTGGGGAGGCAGCAGCTGCCTGTCTCTGAACCGTTGATTCCGGGTGTGGTTTTGCGATTAAACCTGGCGCCTTTCCTGTGCCCCTGATAAGGGCAATCCTGGCTGCTTATCTGGCGGTTTCTGTTTTAAAGCCTGTTGACATGTGGGAGGTTGGCACAGTCCCGCCTGTCTTAGGAGTGGAGCCCTGGGTGATAAGCACCCACCTCCCTGTGCCCTGCTGGGCGCCAAGTGTAGGCACTCTCGGGCATCATCTCTGGGCCCTGCCCCCTCTGCCCACCCCTCCCCTGTCCCAGCACAGTGACTGGGGGGTAGGAGGTGGGGCGCTATTAATAATTGTGTCAGGACAAGTGTGTAAACAGACTGTGCTGTGTATGGGAACCTCAATCTAAGGGAGGATTGTTCTATTATTGATTGATCTCCTGACACCATTCTCCAAACTCCTGGGTTCAGATCCTTCTTAGAATTATTGGGGACATAGGGCTTTGAGGAGGGGAGCCTACATAGGCTGGAGCAGTTAGGGAGGCTTCTTGGAGGAGGAGGATTAAAGCTGGATCCTGAAGGAGAGTTGGGGAGAAAGAGGGGCAGAGGCATGCTAGGCAGGGTGGGCAGGGGCAGAGCTGCCAGGGGAAGGGGTCTGGGGGATCTGGGGTGGTGGGAAGGTTAAAGACATTAGGGCTGAATCCTGAAGGGCTTTGCATGTCAGGCGAAGGAGCTTGAGCTGCCTCCTGTGAGCACTGGGGAGCCATGGGGGGTTTCAGAGCTAGGCAGTGGTGGATCCAACTGTTCTAAAGGACTGACACTGCAACAGCGTGGAGGGTGGTCTGAGGGAAGATGCCAGCTCTGAGCTGGGCCATGGGGAGGGGAGCGGTGGGAGGTCCCTTGCGTTGCAGTGATTCAGCCTGGGGAGCAAGGTGGGGGCTGCGGGCCTGGCGTCCAGGCCCCTCGCACTTCTGCTCCCTGGCAGGTGGATCTCTACTTGAACAGTCGCTCCCTCTGTCTGCTCTCCATTGGCACTGGTGGCTGCCATTCCCCAGGGAACAGTCTGCAAAACATCGCCAGCTCCCGATGAGGGCTTCCTCTGCCCCTGCCTTGGCAAACCATGAAGGAGGGGGCCTCAATGCGAGGAAGTGCCCAGGCCTTTGTTCTGGCTCCGGCCACGGCTGGACCCACTGCCCATTGTTTTAGAATTGATGGTGACCTTGGGCCAGCTGGATGGGACCTATGGGTTCCCTGCGGCCTGGCCATCTCCAAGTGCACGTGGAGGACAGCGGGGCTGCCCGGATGGGTCTCAGTCCCTCGGTGGCCTTGGGGAGGACCTCTGGCCCCAGCTGTGTTCTCAGAGTCTGGAACCCTCCGCTCTGGCCATTTGGGGTGTCAGCGGGCATGAGGGAAACTGCTCATCTGAGGACCAGAAGTCTCCCGGTGGGAAAGCAGACAGGCCTCCCCAGCTCTCTGGACCTGTAGGAGCAAGGTGGGGGCTGCGGGCCTGGAGTCCCAAGTCTGTCTGCTGCTCTCTCGTTGGGTTCAGGGATCGTTGCTGCGTGGGGTGTGCACTGGGAGGGGCCCGGGCAGCTTGGCACAGTGGTTATGGGCTCATACCTGGAGGTTGCTACCTGAGTTTAGATCTCAACTCTGAGTTCTCAGTTGTGGAACCTAAATTAAGTTACAAAACAAACAGACCAAGTAAAAACTTCTGAGGAGTGTGTCCCTGCCTGTAACACGGGAGTGGTCACGTGCTGTCCCCGCTCAGGTTGGTGCGAAGGGGAAGATGCAGGGCCTAGCACAGAGCGTGTACCCTGTCTGCCCCAGGAGACAGATGTTGGCTGTTTTGCCGGGAGCTGGATGGAGGGTGCGGGATGGGGCGGACCTAACTCCCTGAGAATCAAGGAGTATGACCACGTGCATTGCTGTGACACAGAGAAGCCATCTGGACCATAGCCATGCCCCCAACCCCTGTGATCGGTCCTACTTTCCAAGCCCACCCCAATGGCAACACGTCCTCTCTGTTCCTCATCCCATGCCGGGCCCCGTGCTGCCCCTGAGCCCCTGGAGAAATGCCTTCCCCTCCCGTGGTCCCCGCCGGGCCCCCTCCGCCCTGGGCTCTGGCCCCTGCTGTAAAAGGAAGTGATTGGATGAGATGGCCTACGCAGCTGGGCCCACGTTCTCATCAGTGACCACCCCTGGGACAGGGACCCACAGCACAGTGGCCGGCACTGTGTGAGGCACCCGACAGGCCAGTCACTCAACGTCCCACTTCCCAAGGGGGAAACTGAGTCTCAGACAGCCAGGCACTCGCCTGGGGCCTGCAGGCTAAGAGATGGCAGATGCCAAGTTCTTCCTGCTTGCTCCCCTGCCGCCTGGGAGCCCCCAAGCAGGACGGGCAAGAGGGTGGGGCTTCCTGGAACCCCTCCTCTTCTATCTCCCCTTATTTCCTCCCGTCACCAGCCCAGGCCTGAGACTGTGGGGCTCCGGGAATATCTGAGTGTCCTGGTTTCTGCCCCGGGAGCTATTGTGTGGGAGCCCAGCCTTTCCTCCAATTCAGACCTCGCCCCGCAAGCAGCCTGGAGAGGATGGGTCAGAGCCTGTCTGGCCCTGCCCAGGGGAGCCTGGTCAACCCTCCAGCCCAGCAGCTCCAGCACCCACTCCCATTGCCCCAGCCCCAGCCCCAGCGGCTCCAGCACCCACTCCCATTGCCCCAGCCCCAGCGGCCGTGGAATCCCAGAAAGTGCCAACCGCTGTTTTCCTTCTTCCCCGCAAATGCACACACACCTTGTTTATTCCTCTTCTCCAAAGTCATCAGGGTTCTGTGTGTCCCTTTCATCATGAAGGAGGCTGGAAAGAGGGCTGCCCCGGGTCACCCTGGGAAGGATGAGAGAGGGAGGCTGAGAACCCAGCACCTGAGCAACCAGTGCTGTGCCCACCCGGCCCCAGCCCCCTTCAGGCTGAGAAGACTCCCCTGTCGGCCTGTCCTAGGAACGTACCCACTCAAGAGCAGACGCTGCTGCTGGGGCAGTGAGTCCCGGGGCTCGCGGCATGAGGTGGACCAAGCCTGTCCCCTCTGCCCTGGCTGTGGCTGTGCCCACGGTTACATTCAGAGGCTTGGTTGTCCGAACTCCCCCTTCAGCCCCAGTTCCACCCGCTGGTCTGGGTATGGAACTCCCTGAGGGCCAAGCCTCTGCACCCCCAGCCTGGGTGCTCCTTGAGGCGGGCAGGGCCCTGAGGGGAAGCAGAGATTCAGGCTGTGAAGATGGTCACGCAGGACATACTGGGCATGGGGATGGTAAGTGGGCAGTGTGCCATCCCATCTCCACCAGCCCTCTCTGAGGGTCTGGGCCAGCCGTGGGGAGAGGGGAGTGAGGGGAGCTCCACTCCCGCCGTGGCTGGAAGCACACCCCATCCCATCTCTCCTTCTGCTTGGACTTTCCTCTCCCACAATGCCTCCCTTCCTTTACATAAACAAATCTGTCTGCCATGTCCCCTCCTCCAGGAAGCCTGTCCTGATTACTGGGAAGAGGTGGGGCTCTTCCGCTGCCCACAGATCCACCTCACCCCTTCCTGAGGCTCAGACCTGGGCCTCAGCCGCCCTCCCCTGAACACCCCGGGCCGCATGTGGCCCTTCAGAGCTCCAGGCTTCCCTGGGTCATCGGGGGCACTTGAGCCAGCTAGTGTCTGGGCCAGTCATTGGTGGAAAAATGGGCTCTGATGGGCGTTGACGGTGGGGCTGGCCCAAGGTGGACACTAGGGCACTGTGTGATAAAAACTGTGACTTTCCATTAGGGCTACACCCCACAGGCTCAGCCCTCCTCGTAGAAGGGCCTGCCGTGCCCCTGAAGCACGGCCTGCTTCTCACATCTCCGGTTAGTAATGTCTGCTTGATCACTCCCCCGGCCAGAATCAAGAGACTTTCTCCTGATCACAGGGAGCTGTCTCCACTATCACGGAGTAAGAGCTGGTAAATACTTCTCTTCCTTCTCACCATGGCTTCCAGGAAGCTCGGGTGGAAAGTGAGGCTCAATTGCTCACTCGCTGATATCCTGAGAAGATTCCTCCCTCTCTGTTTTCATTTTGATTACATTGTGACTGGGTGCTTTTTCTTTAATTTAATTTAGCCCCTTGCTGCTCAAAGTCCTGAGACCAGGGGTCCCGAGACCAGCGCCTGGGCATCACCTGGGGCCGGTTAGAAATGCGGTATCTCAGTCTCCACCCCAGACGCATGGATTCAGACTCTGTGTTGTGGCGAGATCCCCCAGGGATTCACGTCCACATCACAGGCTGAGAAGCACCGGTGGAACCCTCTGGATAAAAAAGGTACCTAAAACGAAACCTGTCATGATTCTTCCCCCTCCCACTCCCCCCCCCCCCCCCGCCCCCCCCCCCCCCGCCACTGATTACCTAAGGAATTTCCTTGGCTGCCACCCTGTCCGAGCCTGACCCGCCCCTTCCACCCAGCCCTGGCTTTGATTTGGGCCCCCAGGTCTGCTCTCGGGCAGGGCCTGGGCACTGAGGCTGTGGCGCGAGAGCCTTCTTGGGATGAGGCAGGTGGTGGGCATGCGCCCCAGGACAGGGGACGCTCAGGAGCCAGCTGTGTGCTCCCTCATGGACCAAGGCCATTCTCCTCTGGTGCTTTGCTCATGGCAGTGGCTGCTGCTGCCCATTCCTGGAGCACTGGGACTGTCCTGGTGTGATGGGGCCGGGCCAGGGCCCCCCACTGCCACCAGGATGAGGCGGGAGCACAGAGGGTCTAGGAGACCTGGGGATAGCCCACCTGAGGGGTGGCAGTCCCCGCCAAAACGGGTCTTGTGTCCATGCTTCTGCTCCAAAGAGCTGTCCCTTGGGGTTGGGGAAGGTACCCTTGGGCTGTGGCCCCAAAGGGCAGCCCTGGGAAAGGTGGAAGCATCACTGAGAAGTGACAGGTAAGGAGCAGCTCTCTGCCCATCTGAGCTGTCCCACGATGAGAAGATATGAGGTCCCCCCAGGGGGAGGGACTCACATTGGCATCACAATCCCCGGGAAGGAACGGTGTCAAGGAGATTCCTGGGGGTGATGAGGTGCAATTTTAGGCAGCCCTTGTGATCCCTTCAGATCCTGAGATTCTATGATTCAGAGTCCTGCCTCCTCCAGGAAGGCCTCTATGACTTCTTCCTCCCTCACCAATCACACCCTTCCCCCAGCTTATAACCCTGCCCGGACATCTCTCTGAATGCCTTGTCTTTGTCTGGGACCCCCCACCAGCCTAGGAACCCAGGGCCTGAGTCTCCTCCACTTCCCACTTGTCCTCGGCCTGGTGGGTGGGTTGAGCCAGAGATGCAGGCAGGCAGCTGACCCAGGCCCGGCGGGTCCCTCTTTCCCTGCTGGCTCTGATCCCAGGGCTTCTGGTCCCAGACATGGAGGGCTTGGGGAACAGCCTCGCCTGCCCCTAGGCTGCTGCCTGCGCTGTATTCCTTCTCCTTCAGGCCTGGGCAGAGGCAAGATCAATGTGAGTTCCAGACCCTCAGCCCAGCCCCTCCAGCCCTGGCCTTCAGAGGGCCCAGTGATGTCGGCCCCAGGGGCGGGGTAGTCTGCAGGGGGCGGTCTTGCCTTGCTCATGCAGTCAGCCCTTCCCTACTGGGGTAGTTGAGACTGGTTCGCTGTGTAGGGCATTGAAGAAGCCACGTTAGCTCAGGGCCTCAGTTTACCTTTGTGCAATAGGGTCTTAATGATGGGAGGCCTGCTGTCCTAATGCTCTAGCACCTGGGAGTCCAACCCTGGTGACAGGAAGGCCCTGGAGGAGGTGGCGTGGGCCTGTGAGTTGGCTTCCCAGGGCTGGTGGGCAGCCCTGTAGAGCAATAGCAGAAAGCAGGAGGTGTGTGCTGGGCTGAGCTGCTGGCGCTGGAGGCTGGGCACAGGGGCCGCTGGGGCCATGTCATCATTTTCTCATTAGGCAGGACAGCGATCCGCCTGTGCCATGATCTCGCGCTCTGTGGGCTCCAGGAATGTTGGCTTCACATGAATAGAATCCCCAGACCGAGCCACAGAGAAGGGGTCTCCAGGGGGTGGGGGACAAGGGCAGTGCTGCCCACCCTTCCTCTCACCCTCTTGGACTCACCGCACCAGCCCCAGTGCATGGCATGGCGACATCCTAGGAAGCCACAGGTGGCCTTGCTGTCTCTGCTCCGTGGGTGCCCAGCACACCCTCCTGACACTGGCGGGTGGGCCGGCAGGTGGCTCATTCTGCTCACCTTTGACACCTTTCCTGAGTGTCCGCACACTGAGCCTGCTCCCTCTGCTGTGATCAGCCCAGGGCCAGTCCCTGTCCCCAACCCCACCCAGGGTGGGGGTCCCATCTGGAGATGAAGAGCGCCCAGGACACACATAGCAATAGATAGAGCATTCCCCAGCGAGGAACCATGAAGCCCCGCAGATTCAGAGATGCCCGCTGCATAACTCTTGCCCACAGCTCCTCCCTCCCCATTGAAGTTCAGCTCCATGACAAGGAGGTGAGATGCGGGAGACCCTAGATGATGTGCCAGAGAGACCATGTAGAGGCCTGGGCTCAGGTTCCCGGCAGCACATGGCAGAGGGTTAGGAGGTGCAGGGGATCATGGCCACGATGCATGTCACTACTCTGTGTGCTTGCATGTATGTGTATGTGTTTGGGCATGTACACCTGTGTTTTTATGTGTGTATGCATGCGATGTGTTATAGAGGCAGTCAGTGTATGTGCATTGCATGCATGTAATATATGCACTGTTCATGCCCACGTGTATGTGTGTGTAAGCATATGCCATGTGTGTTTGCGCACATGGAAGCCCATGCACTCTTGGGTGGAGGAAGGGGCAGCCAGGCCTGCACTGAGGTACCCTGCCAGGTGTGACTTGGCGAGGGCTGGTGAGAGGGATGGGGGACTCGTGATCAAGGAGGAGGGGGTGGGGACACACCCAGCCCAGGGGTACGCGCTCCGTGTAGAGGGTCAGGGTGAGCTGTCTCCCGCCCACCCTGCCATCAGGCCAGCCACAGTGGGGGCGGTGGCCGGGGGTGGTCAGGGCCACAGTATGGCTGTCACTTTGCTTTCGTGGGCCTCTTGCTCCACAAAACAATATTGAGAACTAATTTGGCTGCAGGGTTGGGATAACACGGATATATTGATCCTGGAGGTGAGCAGTGAGAACAGCCACCGCCAGTGACAGAGGGACTTCCCTTCAGGGACTCGGAGCAGTTCTGCCGTAGGGCCTGGGCGGGAGGTGGGGCTGCACCCCGCCGGGCACCTGTGCCACCGGAAAGCCCTGTGAAGCAACCTGCCGGTCCCAACGCAGGGCCCAGAGGAGGCAAGGACGGCCCAGTACGGGTGACGGGACCGAGGTGTGGCCAGGGCCAAGAAAGACACAGTGAGAAGGGCAGAGTCAGGGAGGCCCACAGGGCGCAGTGAGGCAAGGGGTGGGGGTGGGGGTGGGGCAGGTGGCATGGGAGAGGGAGCCCAGTCCACACCTGCAGGACTTGCTGAGGACACCTGGACACGCCCTCTGGGGCCACGGGCCCAGGTGAGCTGTGGGCTGGGATGGGCAGGGAGCACTGGAAACCTCAGGGGGCGAGCAGAGGCCAGGAGCCAGGGGTGGGGGGGTGGGGGCGCCCTGCAGTGTTGCTGGGGATTGACTGCCTCTGTGCTGGCTTGGCTCCTGCTGGGAGGCACAGAGGTCAGGCTTGGGGGCCTCGGGGAGTAGAAGGCCGGCTCCCCCACCAATACTTTCTGGCTGTGCGGGGCCTCTTGGTTTTGGTGGAGTCCTTGCTGGAGATGGAGGAGGTGGCCTGTTGTCTTCAGAGATAGGGGCAGGGAGAGCCTGGGCATGGCTGGCAGACCTGGATCCCAGCCCTGCCTCTATCCTGACCCCTTAAAGGACCCCAGGCATGTCACCTGGCCTCTCTGAGCCTCAGTTTCCCCATGAGCCAAATGAGGGCACCAGAGCCAATGCTATCTGACCCCCTTCTCCCAGTGTGATGTTTTATGATCTAACAAGGCAGACAGGAGACTTTGAGGGCCCAGGGTTGGAGGGGCTGGGGCGTGGAGAGCAGAGGGCAGCCAGGTGGGGACAGGGGAAGTGCTGTGTGTGTGTGACGCCTGGGGTGAGGAAATGATCCGAAATCACTTACACGCGCAATGACTTCCCTTCCAGGGGCCTGCAGCACAGAGGCCATCCCCACCCACCCATCCCTGGCCCCCAAGGGTGTGGCTGGCAGCCCTGTACAAATGCCACCACCAGCAGTTTCTGGAAGTGAGGGATGCCGCCTTCCTGGCCCGGCACCCTTCTCACAGGCAGGGCAGGGCTGGGAAACCCTCACTCCCTCTTGGTGGACCTCCTCTGTGCAGGCAGAGCGGAGGTAGGTGGGGCAGCCCTGTGCTCCCAGTGCCTCATGCAGGCAGAGCGGGGGTAGGCGGGGCGGCCCTGTGCTCCCAGTGCCTCATGCAGGCAGAGCGGGGGTAGGCGGGGCGGCCCTGTGCTCCCAGTGCCTCATGCAGGCAGAGCGGGGGTAGGCGGGGCGGCCCTGTGCTCCCAGTGCCTCATGCAGGCAGAGCGGGGGTAGGCGGGGCGGCCCTGTGCTCCCAGCGCCCTCATGCAGGCCCAGGTGTCCAGCCTGACTGTGGACCCTGTGGACATGGTGGTCAAACTCTCGTAGTCCCAGCTGGGCTGGGGCAGAGTTTTCCTGTCCTATCTTTCCAGCTTCTCTTCTGGGGCATCAGGTCAGGGTCCAATGCTGGAGAGTTGCCAAACCTCAGAATAGAAAACCCTGCCTCTCTGACGTAGGTTTGACATCGTCCCTCCCCTCTGCAGCCCCACCATAAGCCTCGATATTGCTCAGGGCAGGCAGGGTTGGGGGGAGGGCGGCGGGAGAAGTGAACCAGAGGTGGTGACTTAGAAAATGGCTAAATTGTTCCCCTGGTGAATCACTGGTGGCCCACTAAATCCGGTTTTGATTGATTTAGGGGGGATCGTGTGACGCCTACATGGCCAGGAGTTATCTGTCAGGCAGGGAGGAATTCGCAGGCTTTGAGAGGTGGGTGCTGTGGCCTTGGGGGGAGTCAGAGAACAGATGCTTCCCACATCAGCCCCCCCACGCCCGCCCCGCCCCGCCCTGTGCTCAGCACTGCTAGGCGCACAGCCTCACCCTGTGGGGCCATGAGGGGACAGCTCACCCTCATGACTGTGGTGCTGCCGTGGAGGAGGGACCAGGGGAGCCTGGGGCAGGTGGGAAGGAGGAGGGAGGTGTGTACCCCATCACCCAGGGGCAGTAGGCCTGGTGGCACAGGAACTGGGCCCCTGTCTGGAATC